GGAGAGAGAGAGAGAATTTTTAATATCTATTTTTTAGTTGGTGGACACAACATCTTTGTTGGTATGTGGTGCTGAGGATCGAACCCGGGCCGCACGCATGCCAGGCGAGCGCGCTACCGCTTGAGCCACATCCCCAGCCCTTCAAAAATAATTTTAAAGGGAAAGAAGATGTCTACAATTCACTTCTCACACCTTGTCCCTATATTTCACATCTTGTTTCCTAAGGCCCACTGAAACCATCTTCCTAAAAAACTTGAAATTTATCTTCATGCTCAGTACAAGTAGACAACAGCTACTTCTCCAGCCTTCCAAAAGCATTTATGTGTTTAATGTCACCTGAGTATTTGGCCCCACAATCCCCCATCATGTATATCAACACCCTCTTTCAGTCACTGATGGCTGTTTTGTTTAGTATATTTTCCATCAACCCAGAGATGCACATTTCCATCCGTCCCTCAGTTTGGCTGTTCAGACCTTGTTGATGACTTTAACTCAATCTCTCCTATGGAAACTCACCCACCACACAGAAACATGTGCCTAGAATACAGGCAGCCTACCTTCAGATCCTCCCTAAACATCATATCAATTACATTCCTTAATATGATGTGTTCAAGAATCTGAGCCGGAGCTGCTGTAATTTGGGGTCACTGTTAAATTACATCATCCCCAATTTCACATCTTGTTTTGGGGATTATACCACTTTCTTCCTAGCAGAACTACTCTAATAATTTGTTTTCTACAGCTTTTTTTTTTTTTTTGTATTAAAGTTGAATGAGAATTTCTGACAAATAACGGCTCAAGCCAAATAAAGAGGAAAAGCTTAGTATGTCGTTCATAGATGTCCTCATCTCACTGGCTTTTTAAACATGTTGTGAACTTCTTAGCTCCTGGCCCCATTTTCCTAGCTCTTTTGCCCTAGTGAAATGTACATTCTTTAGATAAAGAGAATATTTTAAGTTATAGCTACTTCAGTGGCTAAATATGAAACCACCAATTATTGAAAATAAGGCTAGATATCTTCATGAATGGATTGAATGGTTAGAATCGAGCCTTCTATATTTATTTAGGTATCAGCGTGTTTTTGTTCCTACTTAATTCTTTTTTTTTTTTTTTAAAGAGAGAGTGAGAGAGGAGAGAGAGAGAGAGAATTTTTTTTTTAATATTTATTTTTTAGTTCTCGGCAGACACAACATCTTTGTTGGTATGTGGTGCTGAGGATCAAACCCGGGCTGCACGCATGCCAGGCGAGCGCGCTACCACTTGAGCCACATCCCCAGCCCCCTACTTAATTCTTGAACCATATCAGTTTTTTATTCTTGTATGTCATAAATGCAAAAACACATGAAAGAAATAAACATTATTTCACTTAAGCATCTTCTTATAAAGTTATTTATATTAAATTTAGGAAAGTCTCAAAATAATTTAATGGAAAGGTAACATTTACCAAAAAAAAAAAAAAAGTAAGTTTGAATATAAAGGTCTTTTAAAAAAGTGTTTTCTTTGGGACTGGGGTGTAGCAGAGTATAGCATGTGTACATACACATGACTAAAGATCCAATGATTCAAATAAATCTAAAAGTGTTGTTCTTAACATTTAAAGAACAGTTCCACAGGTGAAACTAGGGACTTAGAAAACTATCTGTCTCTAAATGTATTTATTATTCAGAGGTTTGTGTACTGAAGAATAAAAGAAATCAGAACTATGGACTATCCAGTCTGAGGGCACTTTTTTTGGGGGGGGGGCTAGTATCAGTAGATGACCCAGCAAGTCTGACCTTTGCTCAAATCCCCACCTGTGCCTTCCTGGCTTGCTTTATCCAACTGTGTCCCACCTCCTAATTGCTCACAGGGGCCAATATCCTAAAGAAATGAGAGCTCTTTTCCCCAGAAAATATCTTTTTTTCAAAACCAATTTCAAGGTGATATAAGTGTTCACATGTGCAGTCTCTTTGATTTAAAATGTAATTTCTACGCAAAATCTTGATCAGATAGTTACAATGGGGAGAAAAATCCTACATAAACAAATAGTGGCAGCAAATCATTTTATGTGATGTGATCCACAAAGTACTCAGGGTATGGAAATTCAAACCCAAAGGTCCCCATGTACCCCATGCCCCTGGACTGCTGCCCTCTCACACAATGTCTTCAGCACTGCCATTACAAAAAGTGGTTTCCTGTGATCCCCATCCTACTGGGATACCACCAAAGTGAGAATGAATCCTTCAAATGAAGAGGTCCCTGAGTGTCCTCTCATGTTGAAAGAGAAGGAAGGGAGGGAACAAGGGAAGGAGAGAAAACATCACAGACTCTCAGGGATTCACTAGCCCAGCACAGCACCATGAATGCAGTGATAATTTTCTCTCCCACCAAGCAAGGGGACACTTCATAAAGAGTCCTGGCCCAAACACAAAGTCAGTTAAAAAAAATGAAGCTCAAGGGGGGAAACCAACAACTACCATTGTAGTAATGAGAGTGTAACAATTAATAATAAGAAAATTATTGGACTTGATTTCTTTTTATTTTATTACAATATACAAACACAAACTTTCTTGAGCCAGTTTTCTTCAAGAGGGATTCTTTCACTGGCACTCTATTTGAGCCACCCTTTAATGTATAGCAGGGACAAAACACTGTTATCTTTCTGAAAAATGCTCTAAGAAATCCAGAGACAAGTGAAATTCAATCAGAACTCACTTGTTTTACTGAATATAGTTCAAGGACAGAGTGAGCTGCAGAATAATAATGAATTATATGCCTCAAGAATTTTAGCACTTACCTAAAATAAGTTATTGGTCCACTGAACCACACTTAGAACTTTATTTTTAAAACTTCCCATGTTTATTATTCATTTTTAATATTAGTTACCATATTCACATGAGTTCTTCGAGTGGCATGCCAAACTACTGGAAAATTTGTTAACATTTAATTGAAAACCAAAAAATGCTTACCCTTCTAATAAGATAAACAAAAAAGGAGTTATTTCCTAGCTAAAAATCACATACCAAGAATAGCTTTGAAGAATTCATGACAATTCATTTATTACAAAAGAAAATCCTATTTTAGAATTATTGCATTTTTAAGATRCTTTAATATAGGTACATTGAAGCCAATTTAAAAAGTTTCATTGCCTTTTTAAATTTTAAACAATGACATTTTCTAGAATTAGGGCAATGGGATTTTGAATATTTGCATGAACAATAGTAATAAATTATTTTCCTCCACATGTCATTTTCTTCTGGGAAAGAGTTAAAACCCTCAATAGAAACTCATGCTTTTTATTACTTTTTTTTTTTTTTTGGTACTGAGGATTGAACTCAGGAGTGCTTTACCACTGAGCCACATCCCAGTCCTTTTTCTATTTCTTACTTACAGACAGCATCTCACTAAGTTTGGTAGAGCCTCGCTAAGTTGCTGAGGCTGACATTAAACTTGTRACCCTCCTGCCTAAGCCAACCAAGTCACTAGGATTGCAAGTGTGTGCCACTGCACCCAGTTAATTATTACATAAGTTTTGGCAGCGAATTTTGTCTTTAATAAGGTTAGAAAAATAGACAAAATTTTGTTTCAACATATCTCATTAGACTGGAACTTCTTGAAATATTTTCATTGTTGCCCTCCACAATATACCATTTTTATTAAGGAAAAGTAAAATGCCAAATTATGACTAAAGATTAACGAGACATTTCTTATATGTTGACTACATWCATATATAATTCAGCTCTCTTAAAGAAAAAAGTTCTAAGACCTAGTTAAAATCTACTATTCCCATGGCTACCTATTTAGTAATACTCCCTCAAAATTCATCCTATTTATTCAACACYGTGAAATTTTAATTCTTAAAAATGCAAAGTCCAAGATGCTTGAACAATGCTTAAATGCACTGGTCTGTACCATCTGGGTAGCAGTTTTGTCTTATCATACTTATAAACTGTCTCTGCAATTAGACTGCAGACTTCTTGATAGTAAGGGTCTTTTTCTATTCCTAAAACCTAACATAGAAATTTATATAGAATAAAATGTAGGTATAATGGATATGATATAGACTAGCAAACACCTCACGTAACACTGAGTCCTAGACGTGAAGGTTTCCATAGCCAAGGGCTTAGAAGTGACAGACAACAGTAAACTGAAGACAATGGTAAAATTACATTTTGGGGCATCAAATAATGCTAGATTTCCTTGTCCAAAGCCTTAGCCAAGAGGAGACACTTGTGAAAAGATGTATGAATAATTTTTAAAAGCCATTTTTAAAGCAGTAATAAACATTTTAAGAGYAGGGAAGGGTGAGTCACATGCTCACTCAGGATCTCCTTGGCAAAAGTATGCACACTTTACACACAGGAGGGCACTGCTGGACATTCTGGTTCTGCTCATTCTAGAGCTTGTAATAGTTTCTCAAGTTCTAGAACACTAAGAAAACCAAGATCTTATAAAATCTATAAAACTACAACATGTAAACAAGATCCCCAAAAGCCGGCACTTTCTTAGAAACACATTTCATAGGCACTATAATAATAAATCTATATATGAGAGGTGGGTTTTAGTATGTTTACCCTCCACTGTATTCTTCCCTGACAATTAAGTCAATTCATTCACCCACTCACTGATTTGGCATTTATTTTCTAAATACTGCAAGATGAGCCCTGGGTTAGACCATCAGAGAGAAATGGTGAATGCAATGTGGTTCTTGCCCTAAAGAAATGTAGTCACATTCCACAATGTACAGAAGAATTGGTGCTATTTACCTATTCAGATTTCACAAATCAGAGAAGCAATTTTTCCTTCATGGTCTCAATCAACATTCTGGATCTTGTAGACCTAACGTTCTCCCTTCTAGAGTCAAACACCACCAATGCCTCTTTTGCTTTTAACTTTATTTGGCAAAGCAGCACTGCATAAGCTGTGCAGAATCCAGCACAGAGCTTACACAGCATGTTAGATTCATATACATTATCAGCAGCAAACTAGAAACAGAAAAAAACAATACTGAACTACAAGTCTCCTATTGGTTTTAGAGAGAGAGGGAGAGGGAGATGGGGAGAGGAGAGAAAGGGTGGGGGGAGCTATGTCAGTTATGTCCAATCTGAACAACTGAGTGTTGATAGGACATTACCTGCCATCTTCTTAAGTTTCAGTATTTACAATGCCTAGTTTCAAGGTAACAAAGCAGCTGATTGTATCTACAACATGCTATTCTATGATACCACATCAAAAGCTTTAAAAAGAAAGCTCATCTCTATTTTCTTAGTAGTCTCTAATAGACATCCAAATACCAAGAATCTTAACTTGTGAATGGTGGTGTTATCTGATGCACAAAAGAAATCTCATAAATTAATATCAGAATAGAATTAAGTGTCCAAGAAAAGAAAATTCACTCCTCAAAAATCAATTCACAAACTAACTGTTTCATTTTGCAGAAACCCTTCTTTTAATATTTTAAAGTAAAACGTGGGCATGTTAAAGTAATAACACACAGATTTATACTTTATATCCTTCCTCTACCATTTGGCTCTGTGCCTCTTTGAAGAATTAGAAGACCCTACAAAACCACAAATTTCATGCTGAAAATAACAGTGTAACAAAGTCCAAAACAAGCTGTGATGCTATTGGTTTTCAAAAAGCTTTAAGGACTGAGATGAGCGATCCACTGCAATATTATAGACTGGTCAAGCTGATGTTGCTTTACAGCTCATCCCTAGGGGGAGAAAAGAGAACAAAAATGGTTAAGTACAAGTCACATACTATAAAATTTGGCTTTCTAATAGTTTAGATACAACACTCAAGTCAGCAAAAATGCACCGATCCCCAAGCAATGTAGTAAAAGAAATAAAAGCACAAACACGCCCAAGTCAAAGCAAAAATGGAAATCAGTCATTTCAAACATCTTTCATGCTACTCCAAAATGAAGTACAAAGCCTAAAGAGCCTGAGTTCTTTATCTTTACTTCTAAAGATAGATTTCTTCCTTTAAGATAAAAAAATTCAGAAAAATTATGACTTCTAGATCTAGGATCATTTTGCTAATGCTATTTGTCATAAAATAACAATGAGTATTCAGAATTTTTTTATTGTTACATTCACAAAAGTGGACAAAATTATGGTCTTTTGCTTAGAATGTCTGTTAGCAATTCCAGAGTGGGTCAATATCAACCCAAACTCTCTGGGAGAAAGTGCATCATCTGTAGGTATAGTATACCTGTCAGCTGACTTCATAAGGCAGCTTTATCAGCTCCAAAAGAAGCCATTCACTCAGCCAGGTGGAGCACTGTGCCAGCAACTGCCAGTGAGAGGAAGGAAGGAATAAAAATGCAGTCTAAAATAAATTGAATGGTATATAAATTCTACCTCAATAAAATTATTCAAAGTAAAAAAATAAAACATCAAGAAAAGCCTGAAAACCTCATATTTGAGGATAATCTGAGTGACAAAAACAATGTTAAACACTCAAGTACTTTAGGGGTAAAGAACATTCTCTTTGCAATTACATCTCAAATGATTCAGGGAAAAAAAAACCCTTACATATACATGTATAACAAATGAAGAGGGGTCAGAAGGCACAAGTGGAAAAATGGAAATAAATGGTCAGTGACTCTGGACATTCAGAAGTTTAGTTTTGAAAAAGTTGCTAAAATGAATTTGAAGGGAAGTTGAACAGTTTATATTTCATAGGTTAAATGGTCTATTGGGTTTTTAAACTAAATTTTATAAATAGTACAAGAAAATATCTTAAAAATAACTACTCCCATACGCTGCCTTTATTTTATTTGCGGGAGTGGGGACTGAACCCAAGGGTGCTTAACCTCTGAACCACATCAGAGCCCTTTTTATTTTTGAGACAGGGTCTTGCTAATTTGCTGTGATTGACCTCAACTTTTAAGAATTTCTTCTTGTCTCAGCCTCCCAAGTTGCTGGGATTGCAGGCATGTGCCACGGGGCCTGACCAGTATTGGATTATCTTTTACATGATAATATTAATTCTGTCTCTCTTATATCATGTCCTAATAACAGCTTATAATTCTCATAAAACAGCTTTTACTTAAGATTCATACTAACATTAAAATAGTTAGTCTACAAAAAGTTCACTTGCAAACTGTTCTGTTTACCAACTAAAATAAATTAACTGTGCTTTATAAAATATGATTTTTTTTTTCAGTGCTGGGTATTGAACCCAAGCCACATACATGCTAGACAAGTGCTCTACCACTGACTACACTCTCATTCAACATACTATATAAGTTTTTTTTTTTTTCAGTTGAAGTTGGATACAAAACCTTTATTTATTTATTTATTTAATATGGTGCTGAGGATCAAACCCAGGGCCTCCCACGTGCTAGGTGAGCACTCTACTGCTGAGCCCCAACCCTAGCCCCAGCATACTATATTTTTAAAAATAATTTGTATTTTATTTACCTGTTACAGACATTAAAGATAATATAAATAAATTCTAAGGTCCCAGCAATAACTTAGAATGTTTCCAAATAATTTTCTTTATTTAAAAAAAAATTCTTTAATAAAGGAAAGGAAATTAGATTTATAGAACCAAATTTTAAAATTTAGGGTACCAGGAAAAGCCAAAAAATTTGTTGCCAGAGCATGTCATATCCCAATACTCCAAAATCCATGCAATGTTAAGCTATTAAATTTTTCCTAATGGGCTGGGGATATAGCCCAGCTGGTAGAGAGCTTGCCTTGCATGCACAAGGCCCTGGATTCAATCCCCAGCACCACAAAAAAAAAAAAACAAAAAAAAAACCTCAATGTTAAAAATTCTGCATAGCCATAAATTTCTTTATGGAAATTTGACTTATATGCATGGGTCATTTACAGTAAAAAAAAAAAAAAAAAAAGTACTGAGCTATGTGTGGCAGTATATGCCTATATTACCAACTGTCAAGAGGCTGAGGCAGGATGATCACTAAAGCCTGGAGTACATTACCAGCCTACCAGCCTTGTCAACAGTGTGACTACCATCTCAAAAAAAAAAAAAAAAAAAATTAAAAGAAAAAAAGAGTATAACCAAATATGTGCTAAATATATTAATAACTGTATAAATTTATTACATTAGGTTTAAATTACTTCACCCTAAACATCTAGTCATATTCTTTTTTAAAAAAATGTTTTTTGGGAGGTTACTGGGGATTGAAATCAGGAACACTCAACCACCGAGCCACATCCCCAGCCCTATATTGTATTTTATTTAGAGACAGAGTCTCACTGAGCTGCTCAATGCCTTGCTATCGATGAGGCTGGCTTTGAACCCATGATCTTCCTGTCTCAGCCTTCTAAGCCAAAGGGATTACAGGCATGTGCCACTGGGCCAGGCTAGTCTTATTCTTTATTAAGAACAAATAAAAAGGTATACTATCAGGAAATAACAATCAAAATCTAGAAATGTTTCCTAAAAATTTAATGAATTCTCTAAGGTAATATAAACTTCRTATGAAGTTATTATGAGAAACATTTTTTAAATGTCATAATGCTATAGGATATGTGGAGAAATAAAAAAGGACTATATATATTCTAGGACTTATACTCTCAATCTTAAGAAATGTGCAGTTCAGGGATAGGGCTACAGCTCAGTGACAGTGTGCTTGCCTAGCATGCGTAAGGTCCTGGTTTCCGTCCCCAGCACCAAACGAAACAAAAAAGCACAATTCATCACAACATCTTTTTCATTTATGTGTGGCACTTTAAGAAGACATCAATAAATAAAATGATTACAGAAGGATAACCTTGATGTATTCCTCAGTTTCATAAATCAGAGACGGACTTATTGCATTGACTCTGGGACTATTAAAAACAAAAATTAAATAAAACATTTACCAGCAGAGGAACAAAATATTGATTCCTACATACTTACTTAAAATGCATATTTAGAAAGCATTAAATTCCTTAAGTAACTAACACAACTTTCACATATCTACCATCATGACCACAGATTCTAGATCTACGGGCCTGTAGATCTGTATTTCTCTCTCCTTCTATTAGTATCCCAAAATTACAAGCAACATTTTTCCAAGTATAAGGAGACACAAGCCTATTCACTTTTGGAGCTCTATTTGATACAAAAATTCAATATGCCTATAGTTGTTTCAATTTATGTTTATTTTATTTTTTGTACCAAGGATTAAACCACTGAGTCACATCCCCAGCCCCACCTTTTTAAAAAAATTTTGTGAGACGGGTTCTTGCTAAGTTGCTTAGGCCCTTGCTAAGTTGCTGAGGCTGGCTTTGAACTTGTGATCCTTCTGCCTCAGCCTCTCAAGCCACTGGATTACAGGTGTACAATTTATTTTTAAAATAGAGTTTGTCATATTTCCTTGGCAAAAATTGGGTCTCACCATCATCCAAGCACTGCAACTAGCCTTGGAAAGCTAGAAAAAGGAGGAGAACATGCTGGTGATGTGTCAGAAAGACACTATGATGAATTATTAATTAAACCTGAGCAAACAACAGAAATCATATAGCCTGGCAAGAAGCTGACCAAAAAACTTTGTAACAATTTTCAAATGTGAGATGGACATTTAGAAAATAGTGTTGATATTGTAGCTATCAATTCACTTCTTTTTATCCTTACTACCATTACCTTGATTCAGGCCATCTCATTTCACCCCTGAATTGCTATGAACATCTGTTTCTGACTAGTTTTGTCCCTTTCCAATTTACTTTCTATGTAACAGCCAGACTTGTTTTTCTGGAATATAACTCGGATAACTTCACTGCCTGGTTTAAACACTTCAGTTACTCTCTGCTGAGTCTTCCTACCATACACTGTAACTGCCTGTTGATCATGGTCTTGGTTTGGATTATGTGACTATAAGCTCTATAAGCTTCAATGTTAGAATGAAAGAGTCCTAGAACTCAGTGCCTTCCATAGTGGGTAAAAACTTAATTTCATGAATGTTATTCAGAATGTCCTTAGCACTGACATATAAAAATCTGCCATTGACATACATATGTGTTACCTGGGGGGGGGGGGGGGAGAAGTCAGTCCTTAGTCAAGTACAGTGGCATACATCTGTAATCCCAGCTACTTGGGAGGATGAGGCAGAAGGAAACTGAATTTGAGGCAAGACTGGACAACACAGGGAGACTACATAAGGGAAAAGGAGGGGAGTAGATGGGGAGGGGAGGGGAGGGGAACTTCTTTATGAAGAAAAAAGAAAACAGTGTATACATAGGGGCTGGGGCTGTAGCTCAGCAGCTGAGCACTTGCCTAGCATGTGAGGCACTGGATTCAATCCTCAGCAGCATCATTTAAAAATAAATCAAGAGTGACTGTTTGAGATGGGATGTCTGAGCTCTTGAAACTGCCCCTTCGTTGTCATGAGTGCCAGTAACTACCATTCCTCAGTTGAAAGAGCATCTCAGGAGGTACTGGACAAAGTGATTCTGCAGATCCTGAACTTCTGCCACAAGTGTGACTGATGGGGGAATGAACTTGCTAGCACCTGTTCTGGGTTGCTTGTGAACACTTTCTCATTTCCCAAATTAAAACATGCAGTTTTTTATTATATAAATGTATTTTTAAAAAAAATACATATAGAGAATTAGGGCCGGGGCCAGGAAGGACCTTAACAAGCGAGGGCCCAGGAGCTTCAACTACATTAGCTTCATGGTAAATCCACCTCTGGTTATAAAGATAAAATGCCTGTTTGTAATTCATTCCTCATTAAATTTTAGGTCAGATGTGTTCAATACTTTATAAATTGAAACATTTTAAATTTATAAATCTGATCTTTTACTTGATATCAAATTTCAGTTATTTCAGTAAAATAGTTGTCCCTTTTATAAACAATGGTAATGTTTATACAATTATATAATTTTCTAAGCATACTTGAAGCAAAGCGAAGGCAGGTTGTTATTAGCTGTTAATAACTACAACCGATGCTAACCAAAAAGACTGGTAGTTTTTAAAATGATTTTTCTAAGAAATAGCCATAATCCAGAACAGAATTCAAATGAAGCAGCTAAGCTATAAAAGGAGAGGATAAAATATAATTTTTAGTGAGATATCTAGGAAAAGGCCAAGTTGAATTTAGTTAAAACACTATTTTAACAACTGAGTTAGATTCATTATCATTTTTACAATTAAACATTCATTCAAAAAATGGCTTTCTTTATAGAAAACAAATCAAGGTCCACCGAGGTTAAATTATCATTTACTTACTAAAAAAACAGTTATCTTAAAAGCAGAATATTTTTGTCAACTGAAAATAGATTCTAAGACAAGCAAAATGTAAAGCCTTCCTTATAAGCTGGAGTTCAACTTCAAGCATTTAGTTAATGGCACTCCCATGTACTAGTTGCATTCCCTCTCACCAAAGGGAGGAGGGAGGGAAGAAAGGTGAAGAGAAGGAAAAGTTTTGGCCTCAAACAGAATATTCCGATTTTTCTGTAACATAAATTAAAAGCAGGGCCAGCTACTGTGGGAGCATGTCTGTAGCCCAGCTACAAAGTTCAAGGCCAGCCAGGCAACTCAGTAAATCCTGTCTCAAAATAAAATTTAAAAGGGGCTGGCAGTATGGATCAGTGGTAGAGTGTTTGCCTAGCATGCAAGAGGTCCTGGGTTTAATCCCCAATAATGCCAAAACCAAACAAAACCAAAAAACACCACTGAACAAAAGCAGGCATTATCTTCACAATGAACTTCACACATGCTATGAAGACTGTTGCCCTGTATGGGGCTGGCCTCTTTGTGAGACTTGGGCATTTACTGAACAGCTTCTATAGAATCCTTCCCCTCCCCAGGAATATAGCCAGAATAGCTTAAAAATTGGCTGGTCTAGTATACAGAACAGTGAAAACTTCACTCAATGGTGAATCTGAAATGATGGCTCTCATACATCTATGAATTGAATGAAAGAAGGAAATCAAGCCAAAACTTAGAATGTCCTCTCTGGAATTCTGACACTTTCAAAAACTGAGATAACTATATTTTTCTCCTTCTTTCTTTTTGCAACAGTGCAACAGAGAGTGAATGAGGCAGGAAATGATGGTCCTTTTTTTCCAGACCAAAGCCTGTTTCCATGCCCACGCAGCAGCTATATATGTTTCTATATGTGTATAAATGATCTACACATATAGAAACAGAGTGGCAGATAATGAATAAAATATCCTTAGAAGGTACTGAGCTGGGGTTGAACATCTCTTAAAAAAATAAAAAGAAAGAAGAAACACCATGTGCCAATCAAGACTCACCCATCGCTTCCAGAGATATGAGATAAACCAAAAGAAGGGCAGACCATGCAAACTTTTTCACATTTAATGTAATGATTTTTTGATGTTTTAATGGAGTAGCATGAAGGTGGCAATCAAAAACACTGCTTCTGTACTCTAATGTCTTAAAATCCACACCCTTTCACCTTGCATGTGTGGAAGAAGTAAGAGCAGAAGAGAAAATCACTTCCACCTGGACCACTGCTTCTCTTTATCTGTTAAAGGCACATATATCACTCCCATAAGAGGTTTCATTTTGACACTGCCATCTTGTAGCTTGTCGTACTGCTCCAACATTTGATTTCCACCTGCAGGACCAACTGGCAATATCAATCTTCCACCAGGCTTTAACTGGTCTATTAGTGCTTGTGGCACAACTGGGGCTGCAGCTCCAACATGAATTGCATCGTAAGGGGCTTCTGCAGCATATCCCATTCTTCCATCTCCCGCAACCAGTTGTACTCTCCCTGAAGTCAAAAGTGTTGGATCATCTTTTCTGACATTATTTATTGATTCATCTACTAGCTCTTTAATGTGATCNATCAATCTTCCACCAGGCTTTAACTGGTCTATTAGCTAAAAGAAAAAAAAAAAAAAAAAAAAATAAGCACTTGAGTTTATGTTAACAATAATTTGACATCACTATAAGCAATGTTCAGTGTGCAGAAAGCAGAAGTGGGCTTTATTTAGCATGCATCCTTCAGGATTAGTTTCAGAACATCTCATGTATATCAAACCACATTACTCAAGCCCCTTATATAAAATGGCACAGTATTTGCATATAACCAATACACAACCTCTCTTATATTTTACCTCACTTTTAAAATATTTTCTTTGAGATATGGTTTTGTTGCCACGCTGGCCTGACTTAGCTTCTCAAGTAGCTTCGACTGCAGGTGTGTGCCACCATGCTCAGCTTCTCCTATATACTTTAAATCATCTCTAAATTACTTATAATACCTAACCCAAGGCCCACATACCACTTCATTTGCATGGATTCAGAATAGTACTTGGGATACAGCAAACTCAAGTTTTGATTTTTAGCAGTTTACATTATTTTCCCCAAATATTTTCTCTTCTCTCCATGGTTGGCTGAATCTGAGAATGCAGAACTGGCAGATACAGAGGGGCTAATTATACATACTTGGAGTGTTTTACCACGACTCAACTCATTCATTTACCTCTCAGCCTCCCCTACTAAACTACAAGTTCCTTGAGGATAGGGACTGTGCCTCTGGCCCAGCACCTAACAGCACCTGGTACAACTGCAGTGCTCAACATGTCTGAACTGAACCACATAATAGAGCTACCCTCTTGAGAAGGCCAAGCACAAAGCCGAAAATTCTGACTGTATGCCTGTTTCAGATCTTTGTGATTATTGTAGAATCTAGGGCATCATTGCAGCAAAGATAAGGAAGCTGTAGTGACATGACTGAATTTAGGATTACTGGCACCATTAGGAGGGAAGGTAGGGCTAGAGTTCTATTGCATTAGAATGAGGACATCTCTATCAAGGAAGAACTGAAAAGCCCCTTTATTCTGAAAATATTTAAATCATATGTTACCATTTGACTATAGCCTTACAGATCACCATTATTCAAAAACAATAAAGAAGAAGACTGACTTTAGATAGAATTACCCCAGGGAAGGGTGCCCTCAATTAAACTTTGGTTGACAAAAGTCTATTTTAATTTTTTCATTTTAAGTTTATCAAAGAAATACTAAATTTTAAAACTTATAGTAAAAACACAGATGGTTTCTCCCCAGACCCAGTCTTATTCCCTAAATCCAGTCATTTTAAATCCTTTTAGTCTGGTCTTCTAGTATTTACCTTTATATTTCAAAATACATGCTAGATAAGGATTGAGATTTAATATACAGTCTACTTCCTTCCTCCAATTTAACCAATCATAATTTTTCTTTAAAGCCATTTTGAGTTATGTGTACATACAGTTTCTTCCTGAGCCATGAGGTACCCAGTGATTGCTTCCTTTCTTATATAATAGTTTTATTTTCCCTCTAACTAAAATTGAAGTCTTTTCTTTTTCATTTACTTAATTTGTAACTGTCTCTAAATGTTTCTATTCTTCAACAGCTTCTTGATGAAAATTTCACTTCTAAGAGGTGCTTTTTTTGGTCTTGTCTGTAGAAAGGTCTAGATCTACTGGGACTTGCCTGTACAATAATCCTGGGAACTCCTATTACCTCTGACCAAGATACTCTACTTCTATGGCTTTCTCTCTTTGTTGGTTTTCCCTACTGTCTCTCTCTTCCATCATTTCCTCATCTTTTGATGAAATTATTAAAGCACTTCCTCCAGAAGCATTTTGTGATATAGTGCATAAAATGTGAGACAGATTGAGCTTTCCAAGTCTAAAGTCATTTTTTATTCTATTCATTTGGTGATAATGGGTTCAAAGAGAAGTCACAGTTGGAAATCATTTTTAGCTCCAAATATGATGGTTTGCTTCTCTGACATGTTGATTCTAACACTGTTATTTTGCAATCTGAAGTCTTTTTGCTTGGCCAATCCTTAACAGGTATCTGGTTTTGTTTTTCTGGAAACTTTTAGAATCTTCTTTTTATCCTGAAAATTCTGAAATCTGTGATGATATTGTGGTTCTTCTTTCTTATTTTAAAAATTCATTAGTGGGGCATTCAGTAGATCTTTTCAAATTATAGAATTATGTTTTTTCTGTTTTGGTGAAATTTCTTACTTAGGGCTGGGAGCTGTTTCTCAAGAGTTTTAAGCAGCAAACCTTCTTTTTTTAATATTTATTTTTTAGTTGTAGTTGGACACAATACCTTTATTTTATTTATTTTTATGTGGTGCTAAAGATCGAACCCAGGGCCTCACATGTAATAGGCGAGTATTATACTGCTGAGCCACAACCCCAGCCCTGCAAACCTTCTTTTCAGACTTACGCTTCCTCTGATATCCAACGTCCCAATGGATCCAATTCCTAAACCTTTTCAGTACTGTGCAGAGCAAACTGCTTCTGCATTGATAGTCTTCTCTGTAATCTGCTTGGTTTCTGCTTCCTCTACCTTTCTGAGTCAGCTATAACTCCATCTGTTTTTATCACATACAGTACGGAGTCCACATTGCAGGCTATGATCTTCTGTTTAAAGGAGTATGGAATTTGTGTTTCTGTTTGTTTTCCTAGTTGTTTTAGGTGGTATTTCAGGGGAAGCATAAACATTTTACTTTGCTCACTTAAAACTGGAAAGCCCCTTTAGCACCATCTCTTAAGTTTAATCAGATGTCTACAGATTCCTATACTACTTCAAGTGCTACAACAATTAAATTCACATTGAGCTAAATCTAGAACTGTCCTTCAAGATCATTTCAGGTCTTAATGTGAAAGATGAGCATTATACCCATCCCGTTCATTTACACATAATTCTATTTGAGATTTTAAATCTTCACTGGAGGCTGCCAATATATTAAAAGAATAGTTAAAAAATTTTCATGTGTTCATGTTAAAATTCTTGCACTGTTCATTTATAACGTATAATTTCTATATATATAAATATTTCAATTAAAATGTGTTAAAATCACTAGTTTAGTAATTTTTTTAAACAGATAATACCCAGAAAGATTAAGTGATTTTCMTAAAGTCATTCAGTCAGTAAGCAGTAAATCAATGACCAGAATAAATCCCCCAGTGTTCACCATTTTTTTTGGGGGGGGGGGTATGGAAACAGAGCAAGGCTATGCAAGGACTCTACTATACTAAGCTACAACCCTGGCCCCAATTTTCATCTTCTAAATAATCTAAACATGAAACAAGTGCAGTGGCATATGCCTGTAAATCTCACTGACTCAGGAGGCTGAGACACGTGGATGGTAAGTTTGAAGCCAGCTTTATTGAAACCCTGTATTAAAAGAAAAAAGGGGTTAGGAATATAGCTGTTGGTAGAGCGCTTGCTAAACATGTATAAGACCCTGGGTTCAATCCCCAGCACCATACCAAAAAAAAAAAAGAAAGGAAAAAAGGGCTGGATGTAGCTCAGTGGTAAAGTTCCCCTAGATTCAATAAAATAAATACACATGAAAAAACAAAACAACCCTTTCTAGATTGAGAGTGGATAAAACTTTTTGACCCTGGTTATCCAACCAAGAATTACATAAAACCTATGTGTAATAGAAACCTGGTATTTCAGTAAATCTAACCCAAGATTCTTCTTTTCTATCATGTATATGTGTCTGTATATACATATATGTACATACATATATATATGCTATGCTATCATAGGATTCACTTCTCTATTAAATATACTTCTAGAATATGTTTTTTGAGGATATAATGTATGACGAGTATCTTCTGKTATCTCCTCTGTGCCAAACATAATCTTGCTAGTCTGGTATTTAAGAAAACACCAAACTGATTATCATATGTCATGAATCCTGAGGGATTTTCCCAGTCTTCTTTTGTCCTAGTTTTTTCCTGGATTAAACACTGCTTCAAGGGCTGGGGATGTGGCTCAAGCGGTAGCGCGCTCGCCTGGCATGCGTGCGGCCCGGGTTCGATCCTCAGCACCACATACCAACAAAGATGTTGTGTCCGCCGAGAACTAAAAAATAAATATTAAAAGNCGATCCTCAGCACCACATACCAACAAAGATGTTGTGTCCGCCGAGAACTAAAAAATAAATATTAAAAGTTCTCTCTCTCTCTCTCTCTCTCTCTCTCTCTCTCTCTCTCCTCTCTCACTCTCTCTTTAAAAAAAAAAAAAAAAAAAAAAAAACACTGCTTCAAATAAGATATCCATATGCTATAGTTTAGTAATTTTCATGTCATGTATACCACTATTTACACATGGAGAGGAAAATAAAAAGAATTTCAGCTAATTGTAAACAAAATGCACAAAATGAAAGTTTCAGCATATTTTGAGCATCATCCAGAAGCCATTTCTATATAAAACTTTTAGATTTCTAGTTGAATAAAACATACAAATAGGAAAAAAAAAATCCCAACTCACTGCTTGTGGCACAACTGGGGCTGCAGCTCCAACATGAATTGCATCGTAAGGGGCTTCTGCAGCATATCCCATTCTTCCATCTCCCACTGAAAGAGAAACAAGTTGTGCATCAAAAATCTGTTTACATCAAACCTGGCATACAGAATTACAGTATAGGAGGTTTAAGTGGGGGAATCAACATAGATTTTTGAATAAATGAAACTGCAATAGTTGATATGAAAAATAATACAATTGGATCACTACCCTCACAAATACACAAAAATCAATGTCAGGAAGATCAAAGACCCAAACAGGAAGAGCTAAAATAATAAATAATAATAGAAGGATTTATCTTCATGATTTCAGATAGCCTTAAGTAAGGCACAGAAAGCACCGGAAACACTGGTAAGTCTTACTACCTTCATCTTATTGGTCCCCTTTTAATAAAATTTTTATTTATTAAAAGGGAACCAATGGGGCCAGGGTTGTGGCTCAGTGGTAGAGTGCTTGCCTAGCATGCACGGGGCACTGGGTTCTATCCTCAGCACCACGTAAATGTAAAAATGAAAATATTGTGTCCACCTAAAAAACTAAAAAATAAAAAAAAAATTTAAAAAAGGGAACCAATAAGACGAAAAGGCACATCATGATGGGGGGGATTATGATATGCATAAACCAACAAAGGGCTAGTCTTTAGATTTGTAAATCAGGCTGGGTGCGGCAACACACACCTGTAATCCCAGCAGTAGGGAGGCTGAGGCAGGAGGATCTCAAAGCCAGCCTCAGCAACTTGGGGAGGTCCTAAGCAACTTAGCAAGACCTTGTCTCTAAATAAAATACAAAATAGGGCTGTGGATGTAGCTTAGTGGTCAAGTGCCCCTGAGTTCAATTCCCGGTTTCCTGCCCCTCTCTCCCAAACAAGGGCTGGGAACATGAATCAGGAGTTAAATGCCCCTGGGTTCAATCCCTGGTTTAAAAAAAAATTTAAAAAGGAAAAAAGACTTATAAATAAAAAATAAAAATCTTCAAAAAGTAATTGTTTTCTTAGTTTAAGAAAAGTGAATATATTGGGTTGGGGTTGTGGCTTGGTGGTAGAGCAGTTGCCTAGCATGTGTGAGTCACTGGATTTGATATTCAGCACCACCTAAAATAAATAAATACACTGTGTCTATGTACAACTAAAAAAAGTATTTTTAAAAAAATCCTCTGGAAAAGAAATTAAAAACTTTTCTGATACTCACCAACCAGTTGTACTCTCCCTGAAGTCAAAAGTGTTGGATCATCTTTTCTGACATTATTTATTGATTCATCTACTAGCTCTTTAATGTGATCAATTCCTATGACTTTTCCATTACATCCAACCTAGAAAAGAGAAAATAATTCAATAGCTCATTGGGTAACATTTGTATTTCTAAAGTATCACTGAAATGTTTCCTTAAAGTCATAATCTGCATTGAGAAACCAAAAATGAACTAATCCTCCAATTAGATTATTCACCATTCAGTTTATTATAAATTATTGGTCACATCAACTTTCTCAACTATGAACCTCACTGAGAAATTATATTTAATCAATAAAGAAGCTGGAATAAATTACAAAAGCTGATAATAATGGAAAATTCAAATTTTTCTTTTTTTCTTCTTTTTGGTACCAGGGATTAAACCAGGGGCACTTAACCACTGAGCCACATCCCCACACCTTTTTTATGTTTTATTAGAGTCAGGGTCTCACTAAGTTGCTTAGGGCCTCGATAAGTTGCTGAGGCTAGCTTTGAAAGTAATCTTCCTGCCTCAGCCTCCCAAGCTGCTGGGATTACAGGCATGTGCCACTATGCCTGGCTGGATATCTAATTTTTAAATCCAGAATTTTGAAGTAAGATTTAACTACCAATATTTAATGGTACTATAATAATTTTTACTTAAATTAACCTAAAAGTATAACTTTAAATATTAAAATTTATATAGAAATTTTGTAAGAAGGGATTCCTGCACCTGATTCTACTGCTCTTAGTGGAAAGTGTAAAACACATAAAAATATGAAAAGGACATGAGTATCAATATTACCTGTAAAAACATTTAACTGAACAAAGCCTGTGAAGTCAGATAGGAACCTGGGTTCCTATCTACATTTCACCACTTAAAACTACATAACTTTAGCAAATAAACCTCTCATTCTATGAATCAGGTTCCTTGACTATGAGAAAGAAAGGAGTATATATCCTATAAAGGATATGAGGATTAGAAAAATAATACAGGAAAAGCACTTAAAACACTATTTAGCATGTGTGAAAAACATTGATATCATTTTAAAAGAAGGTATTCAAATTTAAACTTTAAAAATGAATATTCCTGGGGCTGGAGTTGTGGCTCAGTGGTACAGTGCTCACCTCGCATGTGTGAGACCCTGGGTTGGATTCTTAGCACTTCATAAAAATAAATACTTGAAATAAAGGTATTGTGTCTAACTACAACTAAAAAAATAAATATTTAAAAAAATGAATATGCAGCCAATTTGGAAAGCAGTATGGAGATTTCTCGGAAAGCTGGGAATGGAACCACCATTTGACCCAGCTATTCCCCTTCTCGGTCTATTCCCTAAAGCCCTAACAAGAGCATGCTACAGGGACACTGCTACATCGATGTTCATAGCAGCTCAACTCACGATAGCAAGACTGTGGAACCAGCCTAGATGCCCTTCAATAGATGAATGGATAAAAAAAATGTGGCATTTATACACTATGGAGTATTACTCTGCATTAAAAAATGACAAAATTATAGAATTTGGAGGGAAATGGATGGCATTAGAGCAGATTATGCTAAGTGAAGCTAGTCAATCTTTAAAAAACAAATACCAAATGACTCCTTTGATATAAGGGGTGTAAACAAGGACAGGGTAGGGAAGAGCTTGAGAAGAATATTTACAGTAAACAGGGATGAGAGGTGGGAGGGAAAGGGAGTGAGAAGGGAAATTGCATGGAAATGGAAGGCGATCCTCAGGGTTATACAAAATGTCATATAAGAGGTAAGGAGGGGTAAGTCAAGAGAATACAAATGGAAGACATGATTTACAGTAGAAGGGGTAGAGAGAGAAAAGGGGAGGGGAGGGGAGGGGAGGGGAGGGGGGATAGTAGACAATAGGACAGACAGCAGAATACATCAGACACTAGAAAGGCAATATGTCAATCAATGGAAGGGTAACTGATGTGATACAGCAATTTGTATACGGGGTAAAAGCGGGAGTTCATAATCCACTTGAATCAAACCGTGTAATATGATGTATTAAGAACTATGTAATGTTATGAACGACCAATAAAAAAAAAATAAAAAATAAAATAAAATAAAAAAAATGAAAAAAAAAAAAAAATGAATATTCCTGGGGCTGGGTTTGTGGCTCAGTGATAGAGCACTTGCCTAGCATGTGTGAGGCACTGGGTTCAATTCTTAGCATCACATATAAATTTTTTGGTTCATTAACAAGTAATAAAAATATTTAAAAAAAGAATATTCCTTTAAAACCATTAACATGTCAAGTATAGATAACACGTCATTAATTAAGTGCTATTTCTAACCTTTTGAACAAAAATCTCTAATATCTCATAGCAAGAACACGACTCCACAAAACAACATCTGAAAAATATACAAGATCTCATTATGTGCCAAGTACTATTCTAGATGCTTAGGATACACCAATAAAAAAAAAATTCAGACAAAATTCCCATCTCCCTGGAGCTCACATTCTAGTGGATCTGATGATTATAAACTTATGGCAAGTTACATGGAATCTAGTTCAAGACAGATCCATAAATCCTCATTTCAACAAGACCCAAATCTTCTACATAGTCTCTGGCCACAAGATTTCATATAACCAATCTGATTTGATTATCTAAGCACTGATGAATCTTTATGGTGCTTTAAAGGAATCACAACTTACACTGTGTACAGGCATTTATCAGAAAAAATATGGTAATAAAAGCTGAAGTACAACCTTAAATTAGGTAGAGGGAAGTGATGGGAGAGAAGAGGAGGGGATATGGGGATAGGAAAGACAGAATGAAACAGACATTATTACTTTATGTGAATATGTGACTGCATGACCAATATGATTCTGCAACATGTACACTCAGAAAAATGAAAAATTATATCCCATCTATGTATATCAAAGTGCATAAATGCATTCTACTGTCATGTATAACTAATTAAAACAAAACAAAACAAAACAAAAAACCTTAAAGCTGAAGTACCATAAACAAAGCATTTTTTTTCCTATTGTAAAAGAAGCTCTACCTTCATTTCTAATAAACCTGTAGGAGTATCTGAAAACTGAATTGACTTTACACCTTTCTGCCAGATGTGAACTTGGAAAAATGTAGTTTGGGAGCTCCCAGCTGCCATTTTGGGGTCACTGGGGGTACTATCTGATAATGAAGCTAACATATGGAGGAAACAAAGGCAAAGCAAGAACCAGAGAGAAACCCATTGTCAGTTACATCTGGTTTTCTTTTAAATCCACCCACACAAGAAGCCAGATATACCCCTCAACTTTCCATTATATAACCAAAGTAAATTTCCTTTCAGTTCTGCCAATTTGGCTAAATGTTCTGTTACTTGTAAAAACAACAACAAAAACAAAAATCCTAAGAGATACATATTCCAGATGCTATGTTAATGGAACAAAAAGCAAAGAAATCAAATCCACTGGTGAAAAAAATATAATCATATAATATACTTCTGTTAGGATCAGAATGAAAAATAAAGTTCTTACCATACGTGCAAAACATGCAGTAAGGATTCCACTTCCAGATCCTACATCAAGAGCTTTAGCTCCTTCATGTAATTGATCAAATAGAAGTTCTAGTGCATATGCATGCTGCCAAGAAAAAACAAACCAAATGTTTTCAAGACTCTTATATACCATGGTATACAAAGTTGCCATTTTTTTAAACCAGTCTTTCTACCATTATCTTAAATTAACATAATGAAAACATACTTATATATACTTATTTCTAGGTAAGAAATTTCTATACAAGAAAACTCGGATTAGAATTATTACATTTCAGTAATTTTAGATACTCATTGTATGAATTTTTAAAATTTAATAATTTAATTAAAATACAAAGTCAAAAGATAAAAAAAGGAATTACAAGGGAAAAAAATCCCCATCCCATTCCCAAGTAACATTTTACTCCCTAAAGGCAGCCAATGTTATCAGTTTCTTATGATTCCTTTGAAAAACATTCACTCTATGAATATACAGACAAATACATAATCATTTTTCATTCATTACCTTTTTTAAAAACATTTTTTTGGTAGTTGTAGATGAAACATCGTGCCTTTATTTTAAGTGTTTCATTTTCTTGTATGTGGTGCTAAGGATTGAACCCAGTGCCTTACACATGCTAGGCAAGTACTCTGCCACTGAGCTACAGCCTCAGCCCCTCATTCATTACATTTTGAAAGGCAATTCACATCAATACTTAAACAGCTATTTAAGTATTATAACAACACTAACAAAGAAAAATATATGTTAGTTTCAATCTATTTTCAGAAGAGATAAATTTTTCTAGGTATAAGAAAACAATATAATAATAATATAAAACTCTTATAAAGTATATCTGTCTATATGTTAAATTCCTAGAAGTAAAATAGAAGGGTTGGAAGATATATTTATGTTACACACACACAAACACTACACACATACACACACACACACACACACACACACACACACACACACTAAACCAAATGATATTGGTTATTCCTTGGACCAAACCAAGAAATAAAGACTTCCCTAACCTACTATCTTTATACATTTACATTTTAGAACTTTTCCAGAATAAAATTGAAAATAATGATATTTCAAAATCCAACCTTAAATGCCTGGTGTCTTCACAGTTTAAAATGATTAAATCCAGTTGGAACAAATATCTTGACTACCAAACTTGTTTGATAAAAATATACATCCACATATATATTCATAGTCCATAGTAATAAATAAATGCATACTTGTATGTATGTGTGTGTGTGTGTGTGTGTATAAATAAGCACCAGGAGAAACTATTTCCAAGTAACAAATACAGAATAAATGATGAACTTAGAAAACAAGTCTTTGGGCAACCATCTCAGTAGTAACTGATCTAAGCAAAAAATTGTAAATGGATGCTAAAACTAGTGAATTAGCATTTAACAACAACAACAACAAAAAGACAGTCTCAAAGTGTTCACCTACAAATTATAAAAAGAAAAAAAAGTAGCTTGACAATTGGGTTCAGAAAAAAAAGTTTGTGGGCTGGGGATGTGGCTCAAGTGGTAGCGCGCTCGCCTGACATGCGTGCGGCCCGGGTTCGATCCTCAGCACCACATACAAAGATGCTGTGTCCGCCAAATACTGAAAAATAAATATTAAAATTCTCTCTCTCTCTCT